ATTTTTAACTTTATAATGCTATAACTTATTGAAAAGTGTATTGATCAATATAATTTTTTTATGGGAAATACTATTTTTTAATAATCCCTTTTTCATTCGACATACTTTATCTTAATCAGGATATTAATAAGGAACTAGCAGTTTATGAAGCTTTTGGAATAATCCACCAATTTTTTAAAATTAAACACTATCTAAAGATTTGCATCGAAGCGTTTTTTTTTTATAGTAATTTTAATCACTGTCAGATATCATTATACTTGATCCAACTATGCCACGTCACCACTGTGCCGTGACCCCCCTGTGCTGGGTTTTTTTTTTTTTGTGTGTGTGTCTATTACCACTATTTTTCAGCTCTCACCGAACCGATTTCTTTCAACGATACGTCAACTGATCACAAATCGTATCTAGTCGAAGACATTACTTTCAAAAATTAAAAAAAATTCCCTCGTTCCCCGTTAATGGGGAAATCTCCAAAAAAATTACAAATTTTAAAACTCCCTAATTTTTGACAATTTTTCAATTTTTTTACTTAAAACTGCCATAACTTTTTCAAAAATGAACAAATCAATAAAAAAAATGTTTATAGATGCATAATGTCTTTACCTATCATTTGATATATTTTTTTTATAATTCTGACCCTTTACCTGCCCATGGGGGGAATTCAATATGACAACTTTTTTAACTTAACCTTTGAAAGTGTTCCGTAAAGTCTGACACTTTTATATATATATCTTAAATTAAAGCCAATGAAATGTACTTTATTATGGAAAAAATAGAATTTCAGACTTTATTTTGTCTTCACAGTGAACATGGCTATCGAATGCTATTTTTGTGTGAAAATTCTCGATTTTATATTTAACATTTTTTACTTTATATTCCTCTTCCAGCTTACTACTACCAAGTAATGGTCAGTATTACCATCTGCCCCTCGATAGCTTCGAACGTTTTAAAACCATGAAAGATGTAATTTATCAATCGTAACGTGATCGATTTGGTTTTTTGTTGTCGCATCCAGAGATACCCATGTCTGTTTATAGGTTACTTTTCTCTGAAAGTGGATAATGCTGATGATGATACCGGAAGACATCGCAAAACTTATAAAACATGTCCCATTATCATTGGATATGGTGTGGAGGCTTTCTTTGCCAATTGTTGCCTTACGTATATATATTTATATATTCTTACCGCCGCTGCCGCCGTTTTTACCTCAGGTATAACGTTTTTCTGTGCTCCGCCCGCCCACAAAACACGGCTATACTTCGTGCGTGATACGTTTACGTACTTAAGTCGCTTAATATATATATTAAGTACTTTACGTACTAACATGTAATGTATACTTTAAAACAATAAAATATAATCATGAATAACACAAACGGCAATATCCCTGGATATGGAAGTACCTTTTTAGTACTATAAAAAACACTGATATCCATTGAAAAACGAGCCACGGTTGCAGAGAGAGCTACTGACAGAGCTATAGCTCCAGTAAGCTAGTTCGTTCCTACGAACTACTCTTACTATTACATTTTAATCACGGCCCCGTGCTGCCATTTGAGTTAATTTATTTTGTATACCTTATTGGTTTTTAAAACTTATTTTAATCTATAAAGACATTATTACCATAAATTAATAATATTGAGTAAAAATTGGCATCTCTGGTAAATACTTCATTTATCTTCTTGGACATCACAGAATACGAAGGTAAGTCAATTTATATTATCCCATTTATTTAGAATTAATAATCTGAGCAAAGAACGATAAAGCAATAGATCTATAATCTCTTTTTAGCATCAAGAGTTATTTTGCTAGTTTGTTTACACCTACTGCATACACACATTACAGGGTCTTGAGGGTCGGATTACCGCCCCGTGCCTAAAAAGAGTTTAAAAACCTAATGTGTATCTGATTATATTAATAGACACTTTGACTGGGTATTCGAGGGTCGGATTGCCGCCCCGTTACCTCAGTGTCCTATTAAAGGTTTAATTTACAAACTTATTAGCTCATGTTCCTCAATAAAGAGGACATACATTTATTCCCTTATATCTACTTGTCTTTATTGTTCTAAACCCTCGAACCACACGACCCCGATAGAATCACATCAGGTTCTCACTAAACCCATCATTCTTCTTTCATTTTCATTATTTATATTTTACTCATTTTGCCTTTATTTTTTGAATTATAACACGTTTCTCAGACTCCCTCTCCGGAATCGTACCCTGATTTCCCGTTACCCGTTACAACTAAGAAATTGATAGTAACTACTATCATAACATGAAACTAAAAAGTGAAAAATAAATATAGTTTAAAAGCGTTTTTTTTTAGTTTTTTTAAGCTATATTTATAAGTTTTAAAAAAGAAAACTGTACGTTAACAACGTCTATTGAATACGTATGTGACAATATATGGAACGTTGAACCGGTTATATAGTAAAGAATAAATATGTAAGCAATATCATCGGTAGTATAATTTTCTCATATAATTCACACGATAATGATTGTTATTGTGTGGTGATACCTTTGATGTTGGAAATACGCTTACCTACGCGTCTGACAGCCTATAATGTAATTCTTAGAAAATGATAGATATCGTTTTTAAAAAAATGTTTATCATAATTTCAATTTAGCACCTTTTTGTAGTGCCTCATTTGACCAAATCTCTTCCTTACCCACCCAATATGTAGTGGGTGGGTGAGGCGGCTATACTCAAAAGAACTGAAAGTCACTGTAGGTTGGTAGCCCAAACACAGCTTGTAATTCGCATAGTATTATTCAGTTGAGTGCCAACCTTTTTTACATGTATACTTCTCTCCTGGCCGGGGGCACAATACTCCGTGACGCTGTATACTAAGACTAAGGCCGATATGCGGAGAACATTTGCTCGGGAGCCCTTGTTAGTACCCGTTAGTTTACTAATAATATTATTTCTGGTTTTCAGTTTATTCTTTACATCTTTGAGGTGTTGGTTGTAGGTTCTGTCCAGTTTGATTCCTAGGTATTTTGGAGCATTGTCACTCATTAGTTTGATGCTCTGGACTATCAATTTAAGTTTTCTACTAGCATTTACATCTGTATGTTGTTTAAGTAGAACACTATGGATGTGGTTTTATTAGAGTTAAAGGCGAAGAACCAAGATTTCCAATTTTTCTACACTCTTTCTAGGTCTTCATTTAATATATTCTCAACTTTTTCAAATGACTCTGCTTGAACTGCTTGACCCACGTCATCTGCGTACATAAATTATAAATTAATCAATATCATTACATATTAGGTTATGATGTAGATATTAAACTTGAAAATAAATATATTAAAATAAAATTTATTTCACCTGATTTTCAAAATTAAAGTAAAATGTTTATTTGTGACAACAAAATTTTATTATATACAATAATATAGAAAAATGTCTGAATACTGGAAACATAACTCCATTAATTTATTATTATAATTTTTTTTTTTAATGGAAGAGCTCGGCGATATTATTCTAGAAAAACTTTTCACTATAATGAAAAACTTATTTAACACTCCGTTAACATAGCGTTAAAAATTGCACTCATTATCGCGAACGCTTTTGATTTAAAATATGAAAATTTTACTAGTCTTTCTCAGAAACATTTCAAAGGTATCAAGGAGTCGTGAGTTTTTTTTACGCTCACAATCCAGATCGCGCCGCCCGAATTTTTTTATACTTTCTACTCTAGGGAAACAATTTTTTGGTAATTTTAGCATTGAATTTTTATTTTTATTTTTTTTTGAGATAAGCAAAAATTAAATAGAGTTTTGCTTGAAGTGCTTAAGGATTTATCCATGTTTACAGTTGAGTTCTAATGTTTCGGACTCAGTGCAGAGTCCATCTTTAGAGTGATGGTTGCTAGTCGGTGGCTGCAACTATACTGGCGGCTTGTCTTGATAACAGTCTGCTTTTATAAAATTGATAACATCTGGTTTTTGGCAAACGTTGTTTACTGTATCAGGGTTTTTGACTAACGTTGTTTACGGCATTCTTGACATTTCGGTCTTCCTTTCCTATACCGGGAATAATTTGTTATGTTGATTATAGGCTCTTCGTATATTTAATTATTTTCAGTGTTGTTGGTTGATTTTCTTTTTGTCTGGTGTATGATAGTTAACCAAGTTTTGCTGATTTTCCATCCACCTTCTCTGTTGAAATTTTGCGGACATTTTTCGATTTCTGTTGCTTCCTTGTACATCCGTTTTCCAAAATGAGATTCTTTGTTTAGTATTTTTAGTTTATTGAATTGTATATCATGTCCTCTGTTTTTGGCATATTCGGCTACTGCAGATTTTTCATGTTCTTTTATTCTTGTTGCAATAGATCTTCCTGTTTGTCCAATATAAGATTTATCATATGAACACAGTATTTCATGTACTCCTGGTGTTTGCATCTCTGGCAGTTTATCTTTTGGGTTTCAAAATAGTGATCTTGCTACTGTGTTTAGTTGGAAGACAGTTCTTAATTTGAACTTTTGTGCGATTCTTGATATGCGGTCGGTAATTCCCTGTATGTACATCAGTATTAATGTTCCTTTCTTTTCATCTTTATTGTTTTCGTCATCCTTGTTACGGGTTGCATTTTTCCTTTTCTCTACTTTTCTAATTTCTTTATTAATGTTTTTAATTGTGTATCCATTATTCTTTATTACTTGACGTAAAATCCTTAAAAACTTCAAGTAACAAGACAATCCATGAAAGCTTTAACACATTCATAACAAGACTCTACAGAGAGGACATGAAGAAAACTTGTAGACGTTGGGACAATTTATCCCAGAAAAAGGCCATGCTTATATCAGATCTGACTCTTATGAAGAGATGCAGAGACAAAGGAATAATACCATAATGCGTTGTCATTAATCATCCGATGAAAATCACAGGTGCAAGACGAATTTTAGAAATGGTCAGTCAAAAACTATTACGAAATAAAATCGTGTGCATCAGAAGGAAATTAGCTAACATCGATAATGACTTAACTGAAGTCAAAATAAACTGAACACGGAACTTGAACAAGACACCCTATCAAGATTAACAAATATGGTCGAAAAACAACAAACTAAAGTGAACACAAAAAAGAAAAATTCAAAAGGCTTGAAGGGGAAATTCAGAATAAAGAAAAGCAAAACTACAACTCTAATGAGAAAACTGCAGTTGTCGATTTAACTGACAAAGATTTGACTAATAATGAATTAATCATTCTGGAAAAAGGTTTTAACTTTTCATTAGTTCCATAGAAAATCTCAAAGGAGGACATTATAAGCAGTATAGAAAACACGCTATACCAACTTGAAGACCATAAAAAGAAATCATCAGGCAAGTAAGTCCGCATACTTTAGACGATATGCGTGTAATCGCGAACAATCTCGACAGACCCTTACGCATGGGTTTGCTAAAAGCCAACTTAAAGCCATATGTACCGCCTCTTGCGCCTCCCCAACCACCAGAAGCTGTCCGACAACGGGCGGGCGCACCTAACGCAGAGCGTCCCCCTTTCCGACCCTGCCGATATTGCGGAGCAGATTACTGGCACAAAAGTTGCCCTAATAGGCCGATAGTTTCGGGAAATGAGCATCATCCCCTCCGTGATTATCTCCGGAGGAGATAGTCCGCTCTCCTGGCTCAAAGACACAATTCCTATCACCAGCAATCAAACACACAACGCAACGCGCAGTGCGAATGGCCAGTTCGCTCGTCGCCGATAACAAAATCGAGCGCGTTCCTCTCAGTAAAAATGACGAAATTTTTAATGGCCTTCCACTTCACCTTACCTATTCACCGTACCCTCAACCTCGACTACAGCACCTCGCTCACAACGCAGGACAAGCTATAACCGCTTTAATTTCAATCACCCACAGTGATGGGCACAACGCGGTCCTTAAGGTCTTTAAAAAAAATAATCATACAGCCGAGAAAACAAAAGTCCCCGTGTTATACGATAATAGCGCGGGCGGCCCAACGATATAATGGTCACCATGGGGGAAAGGAATACGGCAGGAACGGCCTACCTGCTTATGGCAATTAATACCGTCGGCGAACATACCGTTTCAACGGCGCCCGTTCGAACCACTAACCACCTGAGTTTTGCCACACAAACGCGTCCACGTAAAATTACTACTCCCGACTTGGAGCTGGAATTTGACAACGGCTTTGTGACGGACTTACTTGACTCACAAGCGCAAAAATCATATATTACTCTAGCAATAGTTTACAAATTTGGAATTTTGCACAACGAAAAAAACACACGCGGTTACTATCGTCACTTCGTTATACACAATGTTCCGCGACTCGTGTCACCTTTATTAGCCATTGCCCTACTATGAGTATTTGAATGACCAACATTGCGTGCCATACGCCACTGGGCAAAATCCAACAAGTCCCGAACGGTCGACGACGAACCGCCGCTAATGATACCGTAGTATTCTTCCTGTTGTCAAAGTGGCAACGTCAATAAACCGATCTCCACTCGCGCACCATCGCCATCAACGCTGCTAACCTTTTGTCACCCGAGGATCAGGCCGGACATCGCGTCGTCGACGCCAGCGAAAGTGCCGCGATATTATGCGAAGATTATTATTATTGTGTTCATCTTTTCGGTTTGTTTTATTTTTTTGTTGAAATAACCTGTTGTAGCTCATTAATAAACGGCCCGTGGGTCTCTACCCTCAAAACCAGTGTCAACCACATTTTGGCGACGTAAGTCGTGTCACAATCAAAATGTATTTTTTTATGTTCATATCTTAAAACTTATAAAGATGTCTGATGATATTTATCATTAGACAATTCTCTTATCCCACATAGTTATAAAAATATTAATAACAAGTTAAGTTCCGAATTACTAGTCCAAATGTAGTAAGTCAAAAATAAGAAACTATATCAGCTATCGTCCTACTAAGTGTATATGGTAGTTTGACTAACATCGCGCAACATAAGCCACGTCACAAATCCAGCAAATGCCACATGACCCGACGCAAATATTCGTGGAAGTCATCTTCATGAAACTTTAAGCCCGTTTCACACTAGCGCGTATGGTAAGCGCGTATATAATATTCTTGTGCACTGCGCTTTAAAACGCGCGACGTTTTTTTTTCGTTTCACACTATCACATTTTTGTTGTAACGTTTTGTATTTATTTTCAAAATGGATGTACAACAAACAAGATGTATGTTGATTTCGGGGCCTAAAGCCATTTAAAAAAAAATACTTCAAAAATAAAAAAAATAAGCGATTTTTGACCAACCTGGTGTTGATTTGAAGATTTCTTAAAGACGCTTTTACAACCTTTTTTCTTAATTGAGTGACCATGAGGTGAAAATTTTTAATTATTTAAGAATGTTGAAAAAATCGTTTGATGAACTATATTCAAAATTAGAAAAGGGTAAATAGTAACTTTTGAGTACCTATTTCAGCATCAGAAATGCTGTGGAAAACATTAAGGTAAGTAATAGATATTATTAATATTACAATAAAATAATCACGGGAAGTAGATGTTTTTTCTGTAGGAAAATATTAAGGGTTTATAAAAAGTAATTTTTTTTACTTAAAAAAAATAAATCAATTACGAAATTCAAAATTTGAAGTTTTTGTTATAAAAACATGATATCTTACCGGTATTTGTACTTAATCTAAAATCTTACTATTATTTATTTTTAATAAATACTGATATAATATTTTAATTAACTCGTATACTTTAATTTGGAGATAATTAGAATTGTGTAATTTATTCACAGACCTTCATTACTCCTACAGGATGGGAATATCTACTATTAGTAAAATAATAAAAGATGTATATGACGAATTGTGTGAACTTTAATCTGAAGTTATGCCTTTGCTGGATTAACAAAATTGGAAAGAAATTGCTTTCGGTTTTGAAAACAATTCTAACTTTGTAAAATACATCGGCGCATTAGGCAGTAAATGTATTTTTCTTATCAAACCAATCCAGAGTGGGTCAGATTTTTATAATAACAACTCATAACTATTCAATAGCTCTTAGGGTTATTTGTGATGCAAATTATTGTTTTACTTTTATTTATATGGAAGCTCAAGGAAAGTTTTATGATTCAAAAAAACAAAATTTCATAAAAAAAACTAGAAAATAAAGAACTTTTGATATCGCCACAGCCAAACAAATCCATCATTGTTTGTAGTAGTTGCTGAAGAGACTTTTAGTGTATTTCAAAACATACTTAGATAATATGTACAAAGTAATTTGAATTACAAAAAAAAAAGTATTCAACTGAAGCTTATATCGAGCAAAAAGAAACATCGAATCAACTTTTAGAATACTCTCCAACAAATGGTGTATTATAAATTAGAGCTTAAAATGTAAAAAAATAAAATTATACGCAACACTTTTGGTTCAGCTTGCAATTTTAATAACTGTAATTAACGATATTACACGTATTCCTTTTGCTTTTTTGCTCCACTTCATGATTTTAGTTTTCTTTTGTTTGCAATTGACCGCAATTATGCGTCCCACGGCACTTTATCACCTTTACTATACTTTATCCACTGAACCATTGAATAATAACAATTTTAAAAAAACCCAGCACAGGGGGGCCGCAGCACTGTGATGACGTGACATAGTTGGATAAAGTATAATGATATCTGACAGTGATTAAAATTACTATAAAAAAAAAAACGCTTCGATGCAAATCTTTATTTAAATTAAATTAAATTTAGTTTAATTTAAAAAATTAGTAGATNGCTTCGATGCAAATCTTTATTTAAATTAAATTAAATTTAGTTTAATTTAAAAAATTAGTAGATTATTCCAAAAGCTACATGATTTGATATTTCCTTATTAATATCCTGATTAAGATAAAGTATGTCGAATAAAAAAGAGATTATTAAAAAATATTATTTCTCATAAAAAAACTGTGTTGATTCATACACTTTTCAATAAGTTATAGCATAATATAAAGTTAAAAATGTATTAAAAAAAGTCGAATATTTTCACATAAAAATAGCATTTGGTACCTTTTTCACCATGAAGACAAAATAAAGTCCGAAATTTTTTTTTTCATAATAAAGTATATTACATTAGCTTTAATTTAAGATATATATAAAAGTGTCAGACTTTCCGGAAAACTTTCAAAAGTTAAGTTGAAAAAGTTAATTTTTTGTGAAAAAGTTGTCATTTTAAATCCCCCCTTGTGGGCAGGTAAAGGATTAAATTTATAAAAAAAATATACCAAATAATAGGTAAAGACATCAAGCATCTATAAAAAAAAAGTATATTCATATGTTCAATTATATTGAAAAATTTATGGAAGATTTTAGTAAAAAAAATTGAAAAAATTTCGAAAATTAGCGATTTTTAAATTTGTTATTTTTTTGGAGGTTTCCCCTATTTACGGGGAACGAGGGAAATTTTTTCAATTTTTGAGGGTAATGCCTTTGACTAGATACGATTTGTGATCTTTTGACGTATCGTTAAAAGAAATCCGTTCAGTGAGAGCTGAGAAAAAGTGGTAACAGACACAAAAAAAAAAAAAAA